GTAGCACCGAGTTAAGAATGTGAAATTATTTAATTTATTTTTAGCTGTGAAGTCAGATCCAATTTTTTACTAAGGGTTTTTTAATCCGTAATTATTTTATTTATTCATTCATTATAATCTCTCTCAAGTTCACTGGTGAACATAGATCTTCCCCAAGGAATATATTTGCACTTAGAGGCATGCTTGCTATAGTTACTACATTTGGATTGTGTGTCGGCTACCGCATTTTTTATTATTAAGTTGTCATGCAGGTGCTGCTGCCCATGTCTTGGCTTATATGGATGAGACCACGCTCTCACAGAAATAAGAATACCAGCGTAAAATAGCAGCTAAACGCCGCTGTGTTTCGTATAGTAAGTGAAGAGAACTGGAGACCCTTTTTACTGGAAACGAGACATTCCATCTTAAAGTCTTTGCGTTATAGCATGGTGCGGGTGACAGGTTGACAGGTCATTAGAATGTAACTTGCGTGCTTTTGCAAGATTATAACAACATATTTAACTATGAGAAAATTACACTGAAATTATTTATTAGTATTCCCTGCCCTGTTAAAACAATCTATTATTATACCAGTACACAAGGGTGGGGATAGGATGGAAGTGAATAATTATAGGCCTATATCTATTTTACCTAGCATATCAAAATTTTTGGAAAAGCTTATGAATACTAGATTAGTAAAATTTATAAATAAATACAATAATTTGTCTTCTTCCCAATATGGATTTAGAACGGGTAAATCCACAGAAGATGCTGTAACTTCCCTAAGCTCACTAATAATTGAAGAAATTGATTAAAAATAAATGTTTCACGGTGTTTCTTGATATCAAAAAAACCTTTGACACCGTCTCTGTACCTATACTTGTGAATAAGCTGGAAAAGGTTGGTATAAGAGGAACACCATTAAGTCTTTTTAAAAGTTACCTCATTAATAGGAAACAAAGAGTCAAATTGGAACAGTACTACAGTGAAGATGCAGAAGCAGCATACGGAGTCCCACAGGGAAGTGTATTGGGCCCTACTTTATTTCTTGTATATATCAACGACCTTTGTAGCCTAAAAATGAATAACGCAAAAATATTCTTGTATGCAGATGATACAGCAGTCGTCTTTACTTAAAAGTCCTGGCAAGCTGTGAAAAATATTGCCGAAAAAGGAATGGCCCAAATAGCTACTTGGCTAAATTGCAACTTGCTCTCGCTAAACACAAATAAAACAAACTATATATGTTTTAGTGTCTACAATAAAAATCAGCCCACTGACAGATTTAGCATAAGGGTTCATGATTGTAGTAGCACCGAGGATGAAAACTGCAACTGCCCGATCATTAAGATCAAGTTACCCATACTAAGTACATCAGATCAGAGACTGTCCTGGTACCCACAGCTTGAGCAAGTTGCCGGAACAGTTAGAAAGTTGATTTGGGTCTTTCGATCATTAAGACATGTGGTTCCAGGTAATAATAAAAAAAATTATGACCGAGAAACATCAAGGAATATATTGAATGAGATATACATCGCCTTGGTTCAATCTCTCTTGGGATATTGCATTCCTGTTTGGGGAGGTGCGGCGAAAACCAAAATTATAGAGGTTGAGAGAGCACAACATGCGCTTATTAAAGTTATGTACTTTAAAAATATTAGATAACCCACGGAAAGGCTATATCTCGATAGTGGGTTACTTTCGGTAAGGAAGCTGTATATAAAACAGATCACACTACATAAACACAAAAATATACCCTACGATCCAAGTAAAAAAGGAAATAGAAGAAAAAATAATGTAACTACAGAGCCCCAATCTAAAACTAAGTTTGCTAGTACTCAATACAATAGTCGTTTGGCTCAGATTTATAATAAAATCAATAAAGAACTAGATATTTACTCGAAACAATATATCGAATGTAAAAAGGTGGTACATCATTGGTTAGAGTCACTCAATTATGAGAACACTGAGTTGCTTTTACATTCAGTAAAATAGTACACACGCACACGCAAATACACACACACACACACACACACGCGGACACACACACACACACACACACACACACACACACACGCACGCATGCCTGTACAAATATTATAAACAGAGGAAAATACTGTAAATACTGTCTTTTAGCCTGTAAGTTATTCTTTGTAATACATATTTCATAAGTATATAATATAATATATAGATATAAATATGGAAGAGCGGAATCACCTGATACAGGCATTATTTGCTTAAAAAGAGACTCCGACCACTAATGATTGTAAACCAAATCTTTTTACCGAAATAAATTTTATTATTATTATTATTTTTTTATTCTGTTATGACTATTAAATTAAAATTAACTTAAAACGGATTCAAATTTAAACTCAAACTACTATCATCAATAATATCAAGTTAAAAATTGATTAAGACTACTGCTAGTTATCTCTTGACCGCAGAAATTTTTTTATTAATTTTAGTTTTCGAATTGACCTTAATTTAACTGTTGCTGAAAAAGTTGTACTATGTAAAAATTTAAATCAATATATATTACAAGACAAAGCCTCATTCACGCACGCACTCTAATCACTAACTGACTTATCAATGCCCAGCTTAAACCCTCGGACTCTGAAAGCTGAAATTTTGTACAGAGTTTCTGGTTATATGGAAGAAGAATTTAAGGTTGCCATATTTCTGTGACTGTAATTATTTAAAACATAATAGTCGGAAAATATAATTATATACTATATTGTAATATCAATGACATCTTAAGCTTCAACTATGCTTTCAAAATAAAGTGATAATAAAATAAAAACATATTGAAAACCTATTGACCCGAATATTTTTGATATAAATTAATAAATGGAGTGAAAATATAGGTCGAGGCGCTGTTATCGTACAAGTTATTTCATGTGCAAAACTAAAGACCGTAAATATTGTGGAAGAACTAAAGTTAATGATAAAAGGAGGAAAAACTCCTTTTTACGAAATATTTATTTCTTAGTTCATAATCTGAATGAACAAGCAAAATATATTTCATACATAGCACTTTTCCTATGTTTCGGTTTTTTTATGTGACAACTTCGCAAATTCAGGGACAGTAATTTTATCACTCTATAACGGCGCGGGATGTCGTATAAAAAGTGACGACTATGGGAAATATTTCTTATCCTTCCAACCGCCACAACTGGAATAAACACATAGAAAACAAAGTCAATTAGGCTAGCATAAATTGGTGGTAATGCAGAAACATCATCGGCAAACGATGGGGTCTGACGCCAAAAAGAATACTAAGGCTGTATAAAACTGTAATTCGGCCCATAATCACATACGGTGCTCTGGTATGCTGGACCAAAACAAATGAAGTCACCACTATAAAGAAGCTTCAGTGTTACCAAATACTTGCATGTACGGCTGCCACAGGCTACATAAGGACTACACCAACAGCAGCCTTAGAGGCCATGGTGGAACTAACCACGCGTCACCTACATATAAAACTAGAAGCGACTTTAGCTGCCATTAGACCCAAGACCCTAAATCTTTGAAGTATGAGTAGAAAAATTCCTATCTTACAAGCCAAGTATGTTAAGATTCCCAGACAATTTGTGTTCGATAAAAATATAAGATGCATTCAAATGAAACCAACAAGCCGGAGGGATTAAGCCCAAAAGAGCTTAGAGTTTTCACGGATGGTTCTAAGACAAATGAGGGTATGGGATCTGGAATTTTCTCGGAAGACCTCAATATCCACATACGTACACCGCTGGGTACCCACAACACAGTCTTTCAAGCAGAATGTATGGATATCAACAAAGCGGCCATAGCAATAGATGCTAGGTAGGTAATATACTTCTCCATCAGAATAATGACCTACAGTATGGCGGTACTACAAGCTCTACCTTGCAATGTGGTGAACTCGGGACTAATATAATGAATGAAATCAACGATTAAATGAGATATGTAAATACAACAATGTGACTCCGCAATGGATCCAGAGGCAATGACGCAGCAGACGAATTGGCCAGGAGAGGATCGGCTATTGCTGTTATATTATAAGATTCCCGCCCACACGCAAAATACGCGAGAAGACGTGGAGTTGCGGAAAACAGCCCTTCTTGAACTAAATTAAACTAAACTAGGCATTATTGATGTATTTGACATTTAAAAAAAGGCGTGAATAATAAATATGTATTTGCCGTTGACGTCGATACATATCCTTTCCAGTTCAGAAGTTTGAAAAAGTCTTCCAATAACCGCCGCATACTAAAAGTCACTCTGAAACCGGTGAATGGATTATAGCACCACCCAAAATGTTTGGCGGAACCCAAGGCTTTTTCACAGTCCATATACAAAATTTTGAAATTGGCAGAATTTACAATCATCTGTACAATTTTCCAAAAGGTATATACGTCATCTAGGGTACTTAACCCTTATCAGAAATCAGTTCGGAACTCAGAGTCAGTTTTGCATTCTTAATTACTATCGAAAATAATACATAGGTATGTATCAGAAGGAAAATTGGTATGTGTAGTTCTTCAATAAAGTGACTTTTTTCGGAAAAACTTCATCGATTAAAAAAGTAAACACTTTACGCGAATTAAATACCAACAAAAAAGAATATTGCTAAAATTTACTGCAAATTCGATTCCGAAAAAGTTTTTTGGAAATTGTGATGAGAAGGAACCCCCAAATTAATCGAATACTGTGCGTATTAACTCGTTTCCGTAAGTGTTTTGTATCAAAGAGCTATTACTCAAGTCATACTTGCAACTTTATGCCTTATGGAATAGTGCAGATCCCCAACTCAAAAAGTCGTGGGTTCGAATACACCATTTGACTATTGACGTGAAACACTACAAACACAAGAACTTAAAGCTTACCTGGAGTGCTTAACGGGAATGTTAGTTGTGTTGATATTAGGTCCTTACGTATTAAATTGGCGTTTTATACGGGAGGAATATAAAGTAATTTTTTTTTGTAAAATATATTTAATTAATTAAAGTATGCGCCGTTGTTATCTATGCACTGTTGCCTTCTCACAGGTAGTTCATTTTTCCCTTTACTAAAAAACCATGTGGGGGAGAATCGATAAACTCTTCAAAGGTGGTTTGGACTGCCGCATCGGAGTTGAATTTTTTTCCTTGTAAGAAGTTGTCCAAATTCCGGGAAAAATGGTAATCTGTTGGAGCAAGGTCCGAGGAGTACGGTGGATGTCGCAGATATACCAATTGTAGCTCATCTAACTTAGTGGTTGTTTGTTGTGCAGTGTATGGTCTTGCGTTGTCGTGAAACAGCACTGGCCTAGAGCGATTGACCAATCTCGGTTCTTTAGCAGCTAGTTCTTCTTTCATGCTTTGCAGTTGCTGATAATAGACATATGCCGTAATCGTTTGGCCAGATTTTAGAAAGCTGTAGTGAACGTCCGGCGCTAGTTCGCCAAACACTCATAAGTAACTTTTTCTGAGTCAGTTTTCATTTAGGGCAGCATTTCGCTGGGTCTCCAGGGTTCAGCCACTGCGACGAGCGCTTCCGATTATCGTACAGTATTCACTTTTCATCACAATAAACGATCTAATTAAAATGCCTTCAATTTTGTGTCGGTTGAGCAAAGTAACACAATAGTTGACGCGTGCTTGCAAGGTCGATTCACTCAATTCATGAAGTACCCATTGTTCAAGTTTTTTTTTTACTTTCCCGATTTGCTTCAAGTGGATTAATACAGTTTTATCACTTATACAAAAGCCTGCAGCTATCTCTGAAGTGCTTTGTGATGGATCAGCTTCCACAATAGCCTTTAGTACTTCATTTTCCACTTTGGTCTCCGGCCGTCCACGGGGTTGTTTCTGAAGGTTGAAATTTCCAGAACGAAAACTTTGAAACCAAAAAAGTACCGTGCTTTCTTTTGCGACACCAGCGTTGTACACGTCATTAATACTTCGAGCTGTTTCTGCAGCACTGGTGGCACGGTATAACTAACGTACTCGTAAATATACCGATATTTCATGTTTTCCATTGTGCGGTAATAAGCAACGCCAAAGAAAAAAATAATGAGGAAAAAACAAATCATTGACTGTTTTCAAAACTCAAATGTACCAGCTAAATGAATTTATAAATTTGAGTTTGGAATTCTTAACCAAAGAGGAGATATTTCAGATCAAAATGGTCAATTCGACAAAACGCTAATATATGAAATTAGCGTTTTCATATATAAGGAACTATTAGTATAGCTTCCTGGAGTGGCTACTCTAGACTGGGAACCTTCGTAACTCTAGTCCTATGAACTTTTTATTTACGTCAATTATTTAAAATAATAAAGCATGTTCCAGATGGATGAACTCCAGCGTCCCAACAGAGGTGATCTTGCATTTTGCTATCCATCTAGATGGCAGATGTAATCCAAATTTTAATTTGATCTTCAACGTCATTGGATGACGGGCGCGCGCTCCCATCCGCGGTTGGAGCGCGTGGATTACATCAGTTTAGCCAGCGGATTATATCTTACCAAAGAAATTTGTGTTGCGGCAGGCAACGGGTGCGCACATATGCGGTTGCAAAATCTCATCCATGGTTCCAATCCAAAAAGTTTTGAATACCATTCACGTTCAATAACTCCAATAAATTTGTATGGATGAGTATTAATCGTTCATTTTACCAGCGCTTCATCCACTTTCTTTCCTTTCTTTGCTTTACGTCTTCAATTGCACACAAAACTGCTAAAGCAAGGCCTAACTTTTGAAATTTGGACCAATTAGGTGCCACTTCTACATCTTAAGTCTATGCGAGTGCGATTCTTAGTGAAGTTCAACCGTGTTGGCGCTTGGTTGTGATCCGTGTAGCCGAAACACAATCCACGAATGGAAACCAAGCTCTCATTCTCGATACATGTCATGTTCCGCGATATGGAACATGTATCGAAGAACTTACCCCGGGGAATGAATGATGAAATGATAATTGATAAGATATACAGTATAAATTTATTTCGCCTTCGCATATCATCCCGTGGATGTAGTAAGAGGTAACAGTGGGAAACTGAAAGAGAAGGTAAGCTACAGTATCTTCCTAATTAAACTCGCCTGCCTAGCGTAGCGAATATGATAAATACCGCCCCAATAAGGCGATCTATGCGGGAGGCCTTTATTCTGTAGTGGACCTTTGAATGAATGATGAAGGCATGCAGAGCTGAGGCAAATATCAAGAACAAACTCTTGATTAAACTCAATTGAGATATATAGCATTCTCTTACCATCAGATGCACTGTGTACTGGTTTGTATTTAAACAAAAATTGCCAAAATGAACTAGCGCAGCGTCACAAAATTGATATCACAAATGTTGAGACCCGTGCCTCCGTGCCAACATAACTATATAAATTAGCACTAACACCATATGTGTTAGAAAATTCTGTTGTCATACTTGTATTACTTCGATTTAAGAGCTTGCTTGTGATCTTGCTGCTTTATGCTTATTGCATAAAGCAGCCTTTCTAAGTTATATTCTATTTATAAACCTTTGCCAACAAACTCGTGTTGTACCATTTGTATAAGGTAGATAATAGTAATCTTCAATTAAGTAAAGGATTCATATAATCATGATTAAAGAAAATTTATACATAACAAAGTGTACGGCGTACTCCGTTTTCGTGTCGCTTTTTAGCAGACTTCAAAAAAGATAAGTTAAAAATTTCGACTGAATTTTTTTGTTACGCGATATCTTCGTACTTAGAGTTGATACATGTGGCATGGTAGGGGATAAAGTTTCTAATAGGGCTATTTAGACGACATTGAGATTGTAATATTCTTTATTCCACTCAAAAGGGTAAAATTACTATATTTATTGATAACTTTGGAGGTTTTAATACTTCTATTTCTCTTAGCTCTGACTTCAGAATGTGAAACTGTTTTATTTTTTAAGTGGCTTGAATCCCCTACAAGGGAATGAATGGGCCAATAGCTTGTAATAAGCAGTGGCAGGCTGTAACACAACATTCCTTTTGTTAAAATGTCATAATCGTCATAAAAGCCATTTTACAAGAGGACTAGGGAAAATCAGCCTCCTACAAGGAATGAAATAAAGTACGGCCCTGTACCACTTGCATCTATCGTCTTCCTACATCTCTTACCAAGTCGAAACTTCATCTAGTGCTTGGCGACTCCATTCCTTTTCGTATCTTAGAGCTACGCTGGCCCATTGACACTTCAGCTTGCTGATCCTTTGGGCTAAGTCAGTTACACTAATTCTATTGCGGACATCCTCAATTGGAATTCTATCACACTGAGGAACTCCGAACATAAACTTCTGAATAGCTATATGAACAACTTTGAAATTATACGGTCAGTGGTGAAGGACCACGTCACATTCAAATGCCATCGCCGGTAACACGCACACACGCAAATAAAATATATTATGATACCAATACTGAAAGACAGGGTCCACAACGAGACATAACAATTAATATTGAATCGTCTACCCTTACGAGTCTGATATCAATGGTCTAATTAATTAACGCTGAGTTAATTAGCTTCTAATGTTTTTTTCACAGAAATGATATTTGTTTTTTTCTTTGCGTATTTCGCAATTGATATTATTCCGTCGTGTTCCTTTTTCTAGTGCTTTCAAGGCAATTTTCTTATTGCCGCTTTTTGCCAATATTTATATATCATCAAATGATTTGGTTTCGAGACTATGACTCAATATATATTCAACAATATAATAACGGTTTAGGTTGAATTAACTTATCATCATTACAGCCCTTCACAAGTCCACTGCTGAACATAGGCCTCCCCCAAAGAATGCCACAAAGCACGGTCCTGAGCCACCTGCATCCATCGACTTCCTGCATATCTTACCAGGTCGTCACTCCATCTAGTGGGGGGACGCCCTACACTTCGCCTGCCGGTACGAGGCTGCCACTCGAGAACCTTTCTTCAGATGCACTGTGATGTACAATTAACTTATACTAATCTGAAATAATAAAACGAACCTGGAATTCTCCTGATGGTAAGTTACCTCACTCCCCGACATTGTCGAGCAAAACGAACGAAGATGTCTCGACAGGTACTAGACTGGGCCGACGCGAGCGCTTGAACGATGAGATTTTGTACATTTTAACAAATAAATAAAATGTGTTCTCAAACTGAATTAAAAATAATGAATCTTTTGATGGGACAACTAGGAAATTAAATTCGGTTGTCAACCAATGGCAAATGACCCTTTTTACGGGAAACGAGGCATTCTATCTTAGTCCTCAAGGGGGACAACGCATCTGCATTTAGATACGTAATCGAGGATAGATGGAGATGCCTATGGCCCACAGTAACCACTTACCATCAGGTGGACTGTGTGCTCGTTTGTCACCCTACCCATAAAAAAATTCCCCTGCGAGGCAATCTATTCGGCGGCTTATATTCCGCAGATGACTTTTGATAGAATGTAATGATGACGATGATCATGATGATGGCATTTACAGAGGTTCAAAAAGTTAAAAAGTAATGCAATGTCAGCTTAAGTTACTCTTATTGCTTACGATACTCAAAGAAGATTTGGAGAAAATGTTGCCGGTAAGAAACTGAATTTAAAATATATTATAATATGAAAATAATCTATATTATTTTGCGCTTTTTATTAGATTTTTATAACGGTCTCATTACAAACTCTGATCAAACTTTTCGAAATCTAATTTGCAGTAAATTATGTTCTGCTTTGGAAGATTTTAATTTGCATAAAAATATTTTTCATATATCTGTTCAATTGTGTTGCTGGCCTTTAGTAAGCTCTTTTAATGAAGGTCCCTAAGTCATATCGGTCCGTAAAAATCGTCGGTGGTTAACAATTCCATAAAGAGATTGTGCGAAGAAGAAAACTCCTAGTAAGACGCACGATGTTGGACCGCTAAACATCGAATGCAATGAATTTCGGCGAATATTTTAGTTCCACGACTTGCCGCACAATATTTGTAAAATGCTACTTCTCTGCGTATATCAGCGCAGTGTATATGCGACTTTTTCCAGCTATTACTCTGCCTGTCCTGTTATCGTATAATGTAGAGATTTTTAAAGTTTTTGTCAACTCAAATGGATGATTTAAATACATTCGCAAAGTGAGCTCACGATATGGACTGTATGGGGAAGTAAAGACGAAAGGGTGCGGGAGGCTCTTCAATTCGCGTTCGAGCACGTGGCGAATATTTGTTTACTAGCTAATGGTCACTAGTCGGTCATTTGGAGTCCGTTTAGTGCGGTCGCTGCATAATCGTAAAAGTGAAGTGAGAATTTTGAGATCGTCTTGTTTTTTCTTAAAATTTATTTGAATTGTAGATTTACTGATTGTACTAATTGCATTAAAATTTAAACAAAA